AAAATCCATAAAATTCAAAAATAATTCCGGTCAGTTCTCATTTGCTAAGTCTTCTTCATTTGGGCTTCAAGTACATACATAAATTCAAAAGTTAAACGAAGAAACCCATTCAACTGTAATTGGCTAATGAAATGATATTAAATGAAATCGAGTTGTGATTTCTGTTGAAAAATAATAACTCAAGGAATACAAAAAAAAAAAAAATAAAAAAAATAAATAAATAAAAAATAACATTCAAACAGTCATATACAGATGATTCCGACATTTCAACTGTTACTGTTTACTCTGCATCTTTTATTTCTGACATTAATTCTGGCATTGTCGTTCGTTCTGTTTGTATGATTCTCCGAACATTTCTTGATGCAAATTGACTTTAATTTTATTTCTTTTGTGGCAATTTTTCCTCTTCACTTTTTTGTCTGCTTCTTCATTTACTTAATCATATCAGGTGTCATCGCTATTTAAGTCAATTCATATTAATCTTCACTTGATTGGCGCTGATTTGTGTCTCCTTATTTTATGACCATGGAGGGAGTTCAATATTAATCAGTTTATGCGTCGACAATATTTGCATATATATGTATGTATATGAAGTTTTTTTTCATACACTTTCACATATTTGTACACTTGTAAAAAATTGTGTCTGTACGCACAACCCAATAAACAATAAGAAGAGTTGGCAGCGAGTTGGAATCAAGCACGTTTCCTTTGCGAACTACGAAGGGCGACGAAGGTGGTTAGAAATGACACATCATCTCTATACTAATAACACTAATTATGAGGATCATTATAAGTATAAATAACAATGTTTTTTTTTAGTAGGTTCATTAACATTTCGTTCCTGGATCAAGCAACAATACTGTGTAAATGGGAATTGAAAATTCACGCCATTTAGAGCACCGCATTTTGATTGAATTCCTTGTAAAATAAGGGAGTACGCCGAAAGAAATATTTAAAGAGATATCATCGGTTCTTCAGGACTTTGCCCCTTCATACACGATGGTGAAGAAATGGGCTTGGCTGTTTTAACAAGGAAGAGAAATCTGTGAAGATAACCCCTACCCGGGGTGCTCAGTGACAGTCGTGATCGAAGAAAATTTTCAAAATGATGAAAAATTAATATTCGAAGAAATAAATTGTAGCAGGTTGAAACTTGTAAAGCGGTTGCGGTTGATGACACTTGGATTAGTCAGAATGATCCCGAGTCAAAGCAGGGGTCGATGCAATGGACAAAATAAGGGAAAAGGCAACTAAAAAGATTCAAAGTGGAAATGTCAAGGTTATGGCTATTATTTTCTGGAATAGCGAGGGAATATTAACGAACGGCCAGTATTTCGCTAATTTGTTGAGTCAGCCCCGTGAGGTAGTCGTACAGAAGAAATGTGGCAAGTTGGAGAACGGAGTGCTGTATCTTCAATACAAAGCACCCATTTACACCGCTCGGGTTGCGAGGGATCCTTTAAAAGCTACTGGACTGACGGAAATTGACCATCCAGCCCACAGTCCTGAGTCCTGGCCTTTAAAGAGAAATCTAAAGAATTTTTTTTAGTGCTGTAAAGGCATTTTATTCACAATGTGAAAGGTGTATTTCACTTGAGAGAGACTATATTGAAAGACAAAAAACATAAAACTACACATTCGCGTCATTAAGTACCTAAGGCCGCGAACTTATCAGCCGCCCCTCTTGTGTGTAGATAGGCGGTACTTCACGAAGATAGATCCGCCAACTCGAATTCATTGGGGAATCAACGATTCATTAGCATATCAATTATGGCTAATTATTCGAAACTCCAGCGATACGAAAATTTTTTCTCGATAATTCGAAAAAACCTCTCTTCACGAAATAAAAAAAGATTGCTTGGTACAAATGACTTTAAATATATAAATTTATGTTCTAAATTATACCTTAAAGACATAAAAAAAAAGTCTGTAATGAACCAATTGAGACGAACTCGCCTTATAATAATAACGAGCTCATAAATCGAATAACAAAAAATAGTATTTCGCGGCGCATTTGAAACCAAGCTTCTTGTGCTCGTTGGGTTCGATGTATTTACTCCAGCTAGCAGCTAGTAATTGTTGGCAATTGAATGTTACAAAATGTATTAACTAATTGTGACAACTACTTACAGAGGCGTAAAGAAGAAGCTGTTCAAAGGAAATCAATAAATGAAGAGACAAATTACAAAATCATTCCATAAAAAGAATGAATTATTAATATACAATCGAGTATACCTGACTCTTTTACAAGAAGATGTCAACCACCCAAACTAAAAGACATGAAAATCACTCTCTCTGCCGAAATCAAATATCTCGGATCTATCTTAGATAGCAAAGTCAACTGGAGTCTGATGAGGCCTAAAAGCGTTTATTGTTAGACCCATTATATACTACGCGATCACTGTCTGGTGAACAGCATTCCAAAAAAATCATTTTCAGGTGCAAACTAAACAGTGTTCAGCCGTTGACAGTTATTCTAATTACGGGAAGTCCACCTTCGACTCTATCAAAATCATTGGAAGCTCTTCTCAATTTTAATTCCTTACGATAAACTTCAAGCTATCTACAGCTATTAGACTCAATGCGGCACAGCCTTACAGGTATCGTGCAACTGAGCACACCCGAATATTGTCATTCGCACAGTTTCCAGCGGACCTGCATTACGCCATCTACCCCTTCTGTTTTGACACTCTCTTCTGCATAAGAATACTGGACAAGAACGATTGGAAAACTACAAATTTTTTTAATCAGAGTGACATAAACTCGATGAAAGGGTAAGACCGTGGAATTTACTTACCATTTTTCTCAACCAATTTTAATTTGGGGCTAACAGACTACTTTAGCGTCTTCCAAGCAGAACTTATTGGAATTACGATATCCGCAGAACGGTTGCTAGGATCCTTGGTTACAAACCAATCAATCACCATATACTCGGAGCGCGAAGTTGTCAACAGAACTCTTCAATGTAATGGCACCACATGAAGAGTGGAGTCAAATTACAGAAGCACTTTCAAAAAGCTCAGGCTAGATGCCACCTAGCCGTGGTCTGGTTGCCTGGACATAGGGGTATTTCAGACAACTGTGTGTCGAATGAACTTGCGAGAGGAGGTATCACGCACGTCGCATACGTATATCTGTCTACGGTAGAACTTTTGCTAAATCTGACTTTCAACAAAATAGCAAAAAGCCTTGGCCAGTGTTGGATGCTTAAAAATCAAGGAATGTAATCCTTCTAGAACGGTTCACCATCAATACAACAACTAGTGTACTAAATCGACGCTGTTTAGCTGGACTTCACTTTATGAGAATGTGATAGTTTCGAATGAATTTTTGTCGAATCTGAAAGACGAAGTAGACGAAAAGACTGGCGAGCACTATCTCTGACCTTTTCCAGCCCTAGCCTCTATACGGCATAAGTATCTAAGATTTCACTTCTTTGATTGCCTAACTAACGAATCAAAGTCATTCTGACCAACAACACGAATGGGAGAAGGAACTTTTGCTTTAGTTAGAAAGTCCAAAGATTTTATTTAGCAGGGGATTACGGCAATAGATTTATTTTCCTTTTTCATTGAAATCGGAAAAATTTCTTTCCCTTAACAAGTTTTTGGGCCTTCAATTTCAACAAAATGAAAGGAATTCTCAGTGAAGATGTCGGAGTCACTGCTTTTAATAGTTCACTGGAGTCTGATACTGCAATCAGACTTCAATGAACCATTAAACCGAGCCGCTCATCAGTGGCGCGAGAGAATTTCAAACCGGCCACGTAAAAACTAGTGTGTTAAAAAACCAAACTCAGTCTCGGCAAAAATACTCATGTTTACGATTTGTGAGCATACACTTGTAATTCTTGGATCCTTGTATTGAGAAAGGCAAACAGTTCCTCAACTGTGTTCAGTGTTTTAGGATCATGTACTCTTCAAGGTGTTGCCATCGATTCAGATTAGAGATTATTATCGCAACAAAGTTACGCACTCGCCTGTGTGAAAGAGAGAATACTCTCTGAGAGCGGGTTATTCGATATAAGGGAAATCTTTAATGTCATTCTATGCTTTCTAAGTGTCGCTGTCCAAGAAACAGTGAACAATATTTCATAGACGAGCTGGCACGATGGGGAATGCCGGGCTGCAGAGAGCAGAAAAAGACTGCCAATATTGCATTTCGATCGACCAAAAAGCGCACTGTGTAGGAAAGATACTGAGATTTAACGAAAGAATCGAGACTAATTTGTAGAGAGAAAAAGAAAGAGATCAAAATGCGCGAATGCAAAGAGCTCCAGTAGGTGACGCCCGAAATTTTTGTAACAGAAATATACAGAGGGAGTCTTAAGCGCATAGCGTTAGATTCTTAATTAACCGTGAATTCCTGGTGTTAAGTCTTGGCGAAGTCCTGTGAGAAAGGAAAAGAAAACTTTCTGTCGATTTGAAAGCCACCTCTTCGATCCTACTTTCAGCTTAATAGATTTCAAAAAAAAACAAAAATTCGCGGTACATTAGACTGCAGTTCTCAAGAGAAAACGGCGAATGAAGCGCACTTATCTATAATGACTTGCTATATTTAGAAAGAAATAATAAAAAAAACTCCACTCTCTTTACATTTTTTTCTTTTTCGAAATGATTGCTGCTCCGGTAATTAATGTCACTGCAATTACTTGCACTTTTTTCTTAAAAAATCCGTACTCACAATCGCGAAACAACTTCATTTAACCCGAAATTAGCATAAAATGTAAATTAGCTGCCAACGAAATGTTGTCAGCATAAACGATCTGACAGCGCTTACAAGCGCGATGAGGTTTTACATACATACATATGTTTATATTCACAACATATACTCGTAAGTATATACTCGCACATATGTTGATATAATTTTACTCTCAAACATATGTATGCATGTAAGTGTTATCATCAACTGCATTTGCATTTGAATAAATTTATTTTATAATTTTTTCTTTACTTAAAAAAGCTTTAGTTTTGTATACTTTTATTGTTGTTGTAACTCACCTCTTAATTTCCGTTCATCAGCCAATTGGCGATCTAATGAATCTTTAACTTCGCGTTCGCGTAAAACATCCATTTTGAGCTCCGCTGTAGAGTGTAGAAATGGAAAGAAAAAGCAAAGAAAGCGAGAAAGTTGATTAGAGATTTATTGACAAGGTGTAGAGATCAAAGCGACAGCGTAAAAGCCGGCAGAAAATGTAAAAAAGGGTTAAAAGCGCTTTCATTGACGTCTCGCACAATGCTTTCGAATTACAACCCTCCCACCCTTCGACCGTCAACTGTCCCCATCAGCCTTTTACACTTTCTGCTCAGTTTCAATCTTCGAATAACACGCATACATATTCACATTACTCACCTTTTTCATAGCTGATTTGGCGCTCCTGTTGACGTGCATTGTCGGCAGCCACTTTCAATAAACTTTGTATATTTCTCAGCAGCGTCTCCGTCGATGAGGGTACCCCGTGTGGATCCATAGCGAGTGGACCCAATGCTAAACCACCAGCCAATGCTGCTGCGGCAGTAGCGTCGTTGGCCGCCAGTAAAGCTTCCGTGCCGGCCAAGGCGCCACCCGAGCCGGGCCCGTTTGTGAGCGCAGCATTCGCACCACCTGGCCCACCAGCCACCGCAGCTGCTGCAGCTAGATGTGAATAGTTGAGCGCACGTTGATGATGATGCTGCAGCGCAGCTACAGCGGCGGCATTATGTGTCGAGACAGGCGATTGTTGTAATGCTGCTGCCGCCGCCGCTGCCGCATGTGAGTTGAGTACGTCGCGTTCGTTCAGACCAGCTGCTGTGGCGGCAGCGGCTGCAGCAGCCACACCAAGGCCGCCAACACCAACACCAACACCGACACCGGCACCAGGTCCGCCCGTTACACCACGTTCACCCACGCCGCCAACGCCACCGGCGTTCATAGCATTGCTGTTGGCACCATGATGCAGTTGATGATGGTGGTGGTGGTGATGGTGATGCAGTGGATGACGTTGTGACGCTGCAGACGACGATATATTATCACGTTCGGTATCACTCAAGTCTACAAAGACAAATAAAAAGGGAAGAAGCAGAAGAAGTAAAGGAATGTGTTAAAATAAACATTAGTCAATGTTGCAGGTAGCTTTTGTGTTCTTTGTGTTGGCCTTTACTATTTATGACTTTGAGTGCATGAGTATGTACATATATTTTTAGTCACTCCACCCCAACGACCCTTCATATTCAGTTTCTTTTATTGATCAAAAACAAAGTGCACTCACCTTCATCGTCTTTGGCGCAGCGTTCATCGACTTCTGACGCATTATCATCACTCAGATTCTCGTCATCATCGTCCTCCACGCCAATCACACCTTGACTGCCGCCACCGACGCTGCCCTCGCGCACCGAATGCACCGGCGAATGCATTTCGCTGCGTTCACTGCGGTCGTCACAATTACTACCTTGATCCGTATTGCCGCCGGATTTGGAGAGATTCAGTACCGGACTTTGGCGATTCGGTGAACCGGCTTTGGAAGAGAAGAGCGAGAATTCGAACTTAAAATGTCTTTGAACGTTGAGAACAATTTTATGGAGAATGAAAGTATATTGGCTTATAAACTTACAATTTCGTGAGCTCAAATCGCGTATCTTCGGCTCATTGACAACGCCACCGCCGGCGTTCATCTGCTGACGTTCGTCGGTACGTTCTTCACGAAGGCTAGAAATCAAATGAATAGGATACGGAAATTTTAATGTAGTGTCAAAATGAATACTTATAAATTAAAATATAAACGAAATCACACAAAACAAAAATATATAAAAATAATATGAATTAAATAAAAATAAAACAAAACAATCAAAAACTCAAATCAAATTAATTTTAATTAAATAAATTACATTTAATATTATAAAAAAAGGAAAGTTAATGAAAGAATAATATTAAAACAATATAAGTAAATTAAAAATTTAACTAAATTAAATAATAATAATAAATTAATTTATTAATAATATCAAATAAAATTTGATTAATTAAAATAAAAAAGAAACTATATTAAATAAAATAATAAAAAAATAAATATCACAAATTCAAATATAACAACATTAAGAAAAAATAAAAATAAATGAAAAGAAAATATATCAAAAGAATAAATAATAAAAAACAATTATATTAAAGTAAAATAAATTAAAATAAATAAAATAGAATAATATAAACTAAAACCATTAATTTTAATTAAATAAAAAAGAAAATATATAGAAAACAGAATAAAATAAAAAAAAATAAAAACAAAACAAAAAACAAATTAGCAGCAACCAAAATCATAGGTATAAACTAAGTTATGATTAAAATAAAATGAAATAAATACTAGTTTATTATACTAAAAAAATTCATAAAATAAAACATAAAGAATAAAAAAATTAAACATACTAATTTAAATTTAATTTAATTTAATTAAAGCCAATAAAATAAAATAATATTAATTTAAATTAAAATAAACAAGTTATAAGTAAACAAAATGAAATTAAATTGACATAAATTCAATATATAAATATTTATTTATATATTCATATATAATTATATAGCAAATAATAAAAATAACATAAAATAAAAAATATTTATCTTATAAAATATATTTAAGAAAACAAAATGAAGTAAGTGGAAATGAAAATAAAATAAAATACAATAAATTAAATTAAGTAAATTAAGTTATATTAAATTCACTTAAATTTATATAAATAGAAATAAAATCAAATAAACAAAAAAAAACCGAAACAAAATCATATATAAATAAATGAAATAAAATAAGATTAATATAAAATATAGTACTTTTTAAAATGTTGAAGTAATATAAATTAAAATTATAATAGTTATAATAATGAAATAAAATATTTAAAAAATAAAATAATATAAATTAATAAAATTAACTAAAACTAAATGAATTAAAATAAAATCAATGAAATAAATAAAATAAAACAAATAAGAAGAATTAAAAAATTATATTGAAGAAAATAGTATGAAATAAAATAAAAAAGTGTAAAATATAACAAAATCCAGTTATTCTTACCGTTCCAAATGTTTAACAATATCCTCATAGGCCGCTCGACAATTCTCCCAAATGCCAGAACGTGCCAACGCATCCATATTTGCCGCAGACATACTGCCCTGAGTGGCAGCTTTCAGCATTTGACTATCGGGCCGTGCATGTAGTCCATGTGGAGGCATGCCGGGCGACATTAACGCAGTACCGGGATGATGATTCATCTGCATGAACGCCATATGATTGATGGGTGGAGGATTATAACCATTGGCAAGAAGTGGTGACTTTTCCAAACGATTAAGATCTGAAATGGTATTGAATACATGAAAATAAAGAATTAAGTCAACAATAACGGTTAAATATCAGTAAAATAAATATACTTAAATTAAACTGAAGTAATACTAAACACTTTTCTAATGAATATAAGGGAAGAAATCAGGGATTCGGATAAATTAACCGAATTATTGAAAGGAATTTTGAGTCCACAAAAAAGTCATGGGGTGCGGCGTGCCTTTCATTCAATGCGAATATTGACTGATTTCACTGGATATAATTTTATGAAATTTTAAATAATTAAATCAAAATATTAACTGCTGATATCTCTGATACGAAAAATGAAAAATTATGAATTATTTAATCAAAAGTACGCGCTAAATTCCCTTTTAATTTTACTAAAAATCGATTAAATCAATTTTCTCTATAAAAAATTTGCCAACACTGACGAAATTGCTGCTTAATTTATTCCCAATGGCAGCCGATATACAATAATAATAATAACAGACAACCGGCGTGCCGGCCATAATGTTCGCGCCATTAACATTCACATAGCAGATCAAAATACACATATGAATATATGTACATATCTACAGTGTGGAAAAATAATAAACGCATATATATGTATGTATATATTGTACATACATCTCTGTATTCGCAATATTAAAAAAAATACATACAAACAATCAAACATTGCTAGCGCAAAATAAGCATATACAAGTACATACATACATACATAAATTTGTACATCCATAAATACGTCCATTAAAAACATTATAATAATATATTAGAGTCTAATGTCGACAACCATATATCTATATACATGTATGTATGTACCTTTGTATGTATGTGGTCATACATATTAAATAGAGACAACCCTAAGTTGCGTGATGCAAATAGGCGGACAGACAATCATTGAAACACTATTAAAAAATTAAAATGTTCACTAATATATGGTCAAAAAGCGGACATATACACATATGAATGTATATGGATATGTATGTATCCGTATGTGTTACGCACGTTTATGTGCTTGAAGTGTTTTTATATGCAAGTGTTTCTTTAGAAGTGTTTAAATATGTATGTATGTGTATGTATGTATATGCATACCAGCTTTTGTCTGCTCGCCATTGATAATGATGGCCCACCTGTGTATATGCAAATAACACTCTGTCTGGCTGACCGGACATTTATGCCAAACACACAAACAATACATACATATATACATATGTTTATTAAATGCTAAATTTTGAACCACTTTATAAACATACATACTCGCATGTATGCTTGTGTAAAAATCTGAATAGTATAAGTTGTTAGGCCGAAGGCCCGTTGACTGGTCTAAATGTCTGGTTGGTTTAAACGTTCCCACTGTTTAAATGGCAGAAATATATACTCTTATGTACATACATACATAAATTTTTGATCAATATATTCAAGAATATATTTATGTATGTTACACGTTTGTTTTGTTTTCCTTTTTTGTATCGAAAAAAATAATATCTAAATCAGCTTATACTCATGTAGTCCAAATCATAGGTGTAGTAAAAAGAAATCCATTATATTTGCATATAATTGAAGGTTTTAATTTTTATTTTCGTATCCAGCCTTACACAAATGATTCCGAACGGTTTTTTGTGCAATCTTTAGCTCTTGAGCAATCGAAACTGTGCTTACATGACGTTCGAACTCGACAATATTCATGATTTTATCGATGTTTTCGGCAATTGGCGTCCAATCCTTGGTGCATCTTTTACATCAAAAATACCGGAACGAAATCGAAATCGAAATTGTGTATTATTGAATGTAACAGTATCAGTACCATAAACGCCCTTATCGAAAAAAAACCGTAAAATATAAAGTATTTTCTCGTTGTTAGTGTCCATCTTTGACGCACGCTCAAACGCAACTGAATCAACCAACCAATCACAAAACTGTCAAAAAAGCTTTCTTAGTACGAAATGTCGTGCTTCTAACGCATCTATTGGAAAAATTATGGATTTCTTTTTACTACGCCTAATATTATTTTATAAATTTGTAATTTATTTATATATATATATGTATGTATATATAATTGATAATTGGTGTGTAATGAACAATTACAAATCGGTTAAGTATAAAAAAATTAAAATAAAATATAATTACTTGTGTAGGCATGCCCATAGAAGTGTGAGCGCATAAATGATTTAAGTCAAAAAAATTGTTCACTCATATTTACTCAATTGCACCAAAAGTAAACAGCAAAAATATTTATTAGTCAAATATTAGGAGCGATTGGCAAACTTGTAGTCATTTCTGTCGCCGTCGCGAGTATGTCATAAAAATAAATTATACACTTGGTAGTTGTGACATATATATAAGTGATTTGATTTGAATAAATTAAAAATGTAGTTTTCATAGAATAGTTGAATTTTATGCCTGGTTTATATTTATATTTATATTTTTTTTTTTTTTGAGTTTTATTTTATTGTACTATATTTTTTCATTTCACTTAATTTTATTTTGTCTTATTTCTTTCTTAATTAATTTTCTTTTTTTTTTCTTTTTTTAGTTTAAGTTAATTCTTTTTTAATTTTATGTTATTTTATTTAAAATTATCTATTGTATATTACTAACTTTAATTTATTTTTTGTTTTTTATTTTATATTATATTACTGGATTTTACTCAATTTAATTTAATTTAAAATAATTTATTCCAAATCGTTTTATTTTCTTTTATCTCATTTCTTTCTTCTTCTTTTTATTTTCTTTTATTTTATACTTAACATTTAACTTTAATTTATTTCATTTCACTTTATTTTAATTAATTTTATTCTAATTTATTTTATTATATTGAATTTCTTTAATATTTTTTTTTATTTTACGTATTTTTTTAATTAACTTTTTATTTTTCTATCTTATTATGTTTCATTTTATAACATGCAATTTTACTTTATTTTACTTTATTTCATTTTATTTCATTTCACTTCACTTCACTTCATTTCATTTCATTTCATTTCATTTCATTTCATTTCATTTCATTTCATTTNTATTTTATTTTATTTTATTTTATTTTATTTTATTTTATTTTATTTTATTTTATTTTATTTTATTTTATTTTATTTTATTTTATTTTATTTTATTTTATTTTATTTTATTTTATTTTATTTTATTTTATTTTATTTTATTTTATTTTATTTTATTTTATTTTATTTTATTTTATTTTATTTTATTTTATTTTATTTTATTTTATTTTATTTTATTTTATTTTATTTTATTTTATTTTATTTTATTTTATTTTATTTTATTTTATTTTATTTTATTTTATTTTATTTTATTTTATTTTATTTTATTTTATTTTATTTTATTTTATTTTATTTTATTTTATTTTATTTTATTTTATTTTATTTTATTTATTTTTTTTTTTATTTTTTTTTTTTTATTTTAGTTTATTTTATTTAATGTATTTTTTTTTTTTGTTTTTTGTTTATTTTCTTTTATTATTTTTCCTTTTTAATTTAATTTAATTTTTCTTATTCGGTTACGTAGTACAAATCTCAATTGCTTTCAATCACATTAAGAAATTACAATAACAAATCAGATCATTTTTGCTTAACCTCTTAATGATATGCCATTAGCGAGTGAGCTGCTGGCGCTTTAACTCAACAATAAAAAGAGAAAAAATCAAGCAAAAACTGCATATCACTCAAAAATCAACGCCCATAGCTCACTCACCGAACTGCGGCGAACTCCAGGCATGCGCAAAGTGCGGCTTCCATAACAAAACATCAAAACGTCTGAAACACTATTTAATACAAATCAATAACAACAGTAAAATAATGTAATGGAAATGTGTACTGACTGATGTGAAAGAAACGCCGCAATGATGATTAAGCAAGATTTTGCAAAAGAGAGAAAAATTTTAAATTCAATAATAAAAAAAACCTACAAATAAAGGTAGCAATGAGAGATGCACTCAACAGCGCATTATGAAAAAAAAAACGAGTTACAACGTAAATACATGCAGATATGTATGTATATACACTTGAACATTTATTATTGATATTTCTTAAGAAATTTTTGTAAAAAGAATTGCCGATTTCAGTAAATTGATTGTACGAATTGTAGATTGAAAGCAGAATTTTCGACAAATCATGAACGCATTTGCGTTGAGAAACATAAAAACATGTGTATGTATGCTTGTAATTGCTATTGTATTAGCTTATTGTTGTTTTTGTAGTGTTAATCGAAGTTGGGGGCGTGTTAGGTGTCAAAATTTGAAATTGAAAATAAAGGAGAATGAACGATTCAAAATAAATGCGTGTAATTGCATGTAGATACATACAAATGTACAGCTTTCTACATATGTAAGTACAAACAAAATTATATATGATAAGTGCAAATGTAATTAATTACATACTTGCATATATATATATTTACATACATACATATGTACATATATAATTGATTAAAATAAATCATAGTTATGAAAATAAAGATTTATTAATGTTTTGTTGCAAATAGTATGAGGAAAAGCAAGTAGAAGCTCTCATAAAGAAGAGGAAGCCGCCAAATAAAAGGGAATATAAAAATAATAGACAATTTCGTTGAGTTACCAAAATAGTTCAATAGTCATTTTTTTGAAGGGGATCTCAAGTTACTGAAATTCGATAGTTAAAGTTGATCTTTTTTTTTGAATTTTTGAAAACAAGTCCAATTTTTTAAATGAAAGAAAAAAGAAGTGATGATGAACCAACCAAACGAAATAAAATTGTTAATATTAAAACAGCACAACCTCATCGTTAACGTTAATTTTAAACTGACTGCTAGCTTTGATATTAACAGCACACTTCAATTTTAAGGTTTAACATTATCTGTTAAAAATTTGACATATCTGTTATGGATTTAACATTAACGGCAGCATTTCGGATGGGAAAAAAAACGATATAAATATAACGAAATTTTGATAACTGCTTTAACGATGAAATATTTAAATGTTTCACCCGAATCGACACATTGTAGAGAAGGGGTCGGCCAAGAATCATCTCAGTG